TGAGTAAATTAAGAAGATTCAGTTTCAGAATTTGAATAATTAATATATATCTTGTCTATAATTAAAATAAATAAATAAATTATGTTAATAAACTTAGAAACAAGAGCCAATGCATGTTCAGTGTAGGCAGATGCCCGCACTGGACTTTTGGGAGGAATTTTTTTATTCTTTTTTTTTTTTTTAACCCACTTCACTGTCTAGCCCAAAAAGAGAAGTCCAATTAAACTCATGCCCTCAAAATTCAATTGACCCAAACTCATTCATTCATTTGAATCAATCCAACCCTTTGTCTGTGAGTGTGAGACTTCGTCCCTATCGCGGCGTCGCAGTTCTAATCTGCATAGAGTATGAAAACTCGCAAAGAACAAGTGTAATATATAAATTATATGGTTTTTAGTATTGTCTTACTATTGCTTTATTTTTTTATAGTTATTAAATTCATCACCAAAACCTCGACATTTGGCGTCGAAAAAATTTTGCCCGCACTGAACTAAAATCCTGGCTCCGCTCCTACAAGTGGAGATCCAAAAGGGCGAACTTCGAATAAACGTACGAGACAAATTTCTATCCCATGATTTTACGATATGTGAAATTGCTATTCAATTGTGTGGAAGCAATTAAATAATCTTGGGATCAATTTCATTTCCTAGTTCCATGGTTAACTACAAAACAAAGCCAAATCAACATCCAGACAAGTTACGCAAGTTAATTACCCAAGTAGTTACTAAACTTTGCCTATAATTTCCAGGAGGTCATTAAACTTCAGAACTTCCCTAAATAGTCATTAAACTTTGCCAAAAGTTTTCAGGAGGTCATCAAATTTCAAAACTTTCCTAAATAGTCACTAAATTTTGCAAAAACTTCCCAAGGAATCACTCAACTTTGCAAATTGTGACCCCATGGCCCATACATCACTGGTTTAGTGACCTCTTGGGAATTTTTTGCAAAGTTCAGTGATTATTTAAGGAAGTTTGGAAGTTTGGTGACCCCTTGGGAACTTTTTGAAAAAGTTTAGTGACTATTTAGGAAATTTTTGAAGTTCGATGATCCCTTGGAAACTTTTTGCAAAGTTTAGTGACTATTTAGAGAAGTTTTAAAGTTCGGTGAACTCCTGAAAACTTTTGACAAAGTTCAGTGATTATTTGAGGAATTAACTCTAAGTTACACGATTGTCTACGATCTCATATTTTGGTAGACTTCCTCAACTCAGATCCAATCAAGAGCTGCCAATCATTTCACGAAATCTCATTCTGATCAGCTTTTCGAGTTTGTTATTAGCAAATTCTCGCTGCTTTATGCCATTGCATCAGTTTTAGACCTAAAAAGCGAAGTTGAAATAAGTGTTATACGTTGTGCGCAAGGGAACTTTACATTGCTTGGGGAGATAACTCCAATATACTGGAATTGGGAAACTTTTAAAAAATCATGGTTTGTCTTTGAAATTCGCGAAAAAGAAGGAAACTTGAATTGTCTTTGAAGACCAATTCCGCAGCTTATCTTGTGTTTAAAATTCTCAACTTTGTGAATTTATTGATAATTATATAATGCAGCAAGCATTAGGATTCTCATCTGAAAACAGCTGGGGAGGGGGAATTCTTTCAATCACATACAAAGGCTGATAATAATGCACGAGTTTATGCATGGCCTCTTCATCACTAAAGTTAATATCTCCTTCTTTAAAGGGCTCCTCCTTGTTTTCCCCACCCTTTTCCTCTCCTTTTTCCTCGTTTTCTCCTCTCTCTTCATTTTTTTCTTCCTCTTGCTTGGCTGCTTCATCTGGTTTTTTTTCGTCTTTATTCTCCTTGGGCTTTGATTCTTCGGTTTCGGGCTGTGGTATAATTTTGGCCTGCTTTTTTGTACTTTTGTAGATATAATCAACGAGCTTGTCTGCATCCATAGTACCCGTAACCTTAATTTTCCCAGAACTGAATTCTGTCTCGGCTATTTGAACTCCTGTAGTTAATTAATGCACCAAAATTATGGCCAATCATTTTAATTTGAATGAAGATTCATAAATTACAAGGGATGGATTAATCATACCATTGGCTTGTTCAATCGCAAAACTTTTTGAAGTTTATTTCGAGTTTGGAGATATATCGATGGAAAAAACAAAAAAACAAAAAAACAAAAAAAAAAAAGGGGGGGGGAAGAAGAAGAAGGTTCTTGTACTAAAGAAAGAAAATATTCAAGGCACAAATTTCACCATGTGCTGAAGTCTAATTTTGCACTTACAAGGGCTCTTGCCTGTATATAAAGCTCTTTAAAGGCCATTTTTGGAGCGTGTGAACTTTGTAACTTTTTTCAGAATTATGGTTGAACCATCGTAAGTTCTTTATTTACTTACTGTAATACTATTATGGCTCTCGAAAGTAGAGAAATATTACCTTTCAATTTGAGTATCTTTCTCTTAAGCTGCTGGGCACAAGCCAAACAATGCATGTTCACATTCAGTTCCATTGTAGTTAGTTCGCTATCCTGGAGACAAAAAAATTAAGCACGTTATGGAACATAATTAAAATAAAAACCGAAGTACAAAGTTAAAATCTCGTCTATTATCTGGTCAACCTGTGAGGCAACAACTTCCGACATAGCTTCACCCTCGGATTCTGGCAATGGTGATAAAACTTTGATTCTTCTCTTTATTTTCTTCATGATTTTATTGCATACAACTTGAGCCTCCACAACTCCCTCTACAGTTATTTGATTTTTCACCATGTCAATCACAACTCCCTCTACTCCTGTCAAGATGTTGACCAACACACTACACAATTCAGGAAAGAAAAAGAAAAAAAAGGAACTATTTAGCCTAGAATTTGAAAGAGAGTCTTTGAATCTAGTCCTCTAAAACCTTAAGCTTTTCGACAACGTTGTTCAATATGGAATCAGGGCAAATAGCACACTTTTGATAAAAAAAAAAAAATTTAGATGAGGGGATTCATACCTCTAATCTTAAGAATGGACCTCTCTATCTTTTTTGCACAACCCACACAATGCAAGTCCACAAACAAAACCAAAGGGGAGGGTGGCTTAGGTTCTTCTTTTATCTCCTCCACTTTCTTTTCCTCTGGTTTAGCTCCCTCTTGAGTTTTTTCCTGCTAAAATTTATTTACATTATAATCACATTCAAATCAAATATATACTTGCATAGTTGTATAATAACTATAAATTTCATTTAAATTAACAGCATTTTGATGCAACGATCCACTACCTGTTCGACTTGTTCACCCATTGTACTCTGAAAATTTCACTTTTTTTGTAATGAAAGATAAGTAGAAACTCTAACGGGAAAGTGAGCAAGAAGGGGGGATTACAAGGAGCAGGGTATGCAAACTTATATAGAAGCTGAAATATGTGTGTCGGCTCGACTACGTAGATTATACTTTTATAATTATTTTTTTAATCACGAATCGACCTAATATTTCCATGATATATAAATGATTTTTAAGAGTCTATGTTTGCACTTTGCTTTTATTTTCTTATAATTAATGGGGATTAAGACTTGTCTCACTTTATGTATGTTGATTGTTGTGTTCAAAAGGAAGTCAAATTTATTTTTAGAGTTATTGTTTTATGATTTGCAAAAATAGTTTTTCACTATATATTTTTTTTTGTTTAAATAAGTTAAACCTTTTTTTTTTTTTTTTTGAATAAGTAACTGTCAAGTAAAGTATCATTTGAAATTCTACAATGGGCCTACGATTCTAGAAAGTTTGGTTTGTGTCAGTCTTGATCACTTCCTAATCATACATGTTGTGGTTGACACTTGCGATATAACGTTTTTCGAGAATATTATCGAGTTTTAGTTGCACTATTCAAAATTATTACATCTTTTCGCATTATTTTGCGAGGATTTAGCCATTTATTCATCGATCGTAGCTTTTGACACAATTTGTGGACTTTATGTGCTGATAGTCACAAATATTGTCTCTACTTTTTATCTTTAATGTGAATGGACAAGGTACAAACCTTAGGGATTCCAAAGGACTAATGATTTGCATGTAAGGATCCATATGCTAAATAGTTGGTTTCACATGGGCTGTTTTGTCCCTTAAATTAGTTTTCAATTAGATTTAAATACAAGTTCAATAGATTAAACAAATTTATGTATATTTATTAGATTATATACAACATTTGACACAAAAGAAGTTAATATCTTTATGTGATTAGAGCACATACATACTATGGTTGGCTCATTGTAGATCACCCTTTTAACATTAATGATATATAAGAACCATATTATGTCACGACATTCTAAACCCATCTCACGTACAATTTAAATTGAAAACAACCAAATCTATTCAAAAATTTTTCGATCCAAAATGTGATAAGCGAACAACAAAATTGGTTAAGCTCCTTTAAAGGCGGTGAACGACCCTTTTTTCTTATAATTGAGTGAGAAATTGTAATTGTATTTGATTGGAGAAGATGGTCACTATGGAATTGAATACTATTGGACAATAATAATAATAAACTGTCTATCATATTTAATATATTGCCCAATTCAATCTTTAATAATATTTTGGTAACATGAATGGAGAAAGATATGGGTACCCTACAAATGGTATGTCATCAGCTACATTACCAAACAACAATGGACATGGACACTGATGACGTGTCCTATCTCCTTCCATCATAAATTGCCAAATCAATTTACATTTTTCATGGTAAATTGGAAAGGTGACTTTCTCTTGGTTTAACTTGTAACTTTGTCTTTGATGGAAAAATTTCCATTCAAAAAAGTTTGAGGGAATTTGCGTGGAAATGACTCAGCATGGGACACATGCAAATCCCACTTTAGTTTAAACTTCAACACTACTCGGAATTATTACGTCGTTATATTTTTATCATTGAATTTTTATTTTTATTTTTTTATCATATCAAATTAATTGCTGCACCTTTTTTTTTTTTTTTTTTTTTGGGAAGTTTATACTGTCTGTCTACTAGTGAAACTTCTAGAAATATTAATATGACTAATGGAACCAAAACAAGCTCGATTTGCTCCAAATTCAAACTGTGCCTTAATTGTAAAAAGTGACTAGTATCTTCAAATCGCTCCAGGCTCGACCGAAATCAAGGGTACCTTGGGACATGCGCTACAAAATGCTTAAAAAGAAAGATTGTTTGATGAGAGAATTTCATTATCTATCTAACTTTGAAACTATTACACTCGGTGAATATACTTCTTTAATATTAAAAATACATATAAGAAGAAACTTTCAACTTCACCAATATCTGCAGTCTCCTCCGCTTTCCTCCACAACTATCACAACTTCTACTAAGCGAGTATTTTGGAGTAAACAAAGTGCCTAAAAATTAGATGATTAACCGTTTCGTGAGATGTCAATACAATGTTCGATCAAACTTTGTTTTCAATTAATTTTGAAATCCAATTCATAAATTTTATTGGATTCGTTGCACCAATATTGCAATATACTATCAATATATAAAACCATAACATGCTAATGCAAATCCTACCAAAAAGTTGAGAATCAAGAAAAATTATGTTTAGGTTGACATCTTTCTATCGAAAAATCTTGTCTTAATTAATAATTATATCTTTTTAATTATTGTTAAATGTTTGATTATGAGATTGTAGTAGTTGACTAGTTGGTAAGGGAGATTATTGGAAAAGAGGCACTTATTATTATAAGAAAGGAGGTTAGAGGCATCTAGACATTTGCTTTTTTTCCTTTTTTCCTTTTTTTTGGTCAAGCAAATTAAGGATCAAGCTCAACCAACCACCCATTAATTTAGCTTTAATATTTTATTTCTACAATAAAATCTACATGATTCTATTCGGTTGATTAATTATGAACATCAGACAAAAGTTTTGTATTCCTAAACACACACTATTTGGTTTTTCAAATTCAATTTTATTTCGCATATGATTCGATAATATAATTTGAAGAATTTTGTATTTTTATTTTTTCAATTAAATTGCTATGATTCCAAGAATGTGCCAATCTTCCATCACTAACTTTGATAAACGGTAATATAAATAAGTAATTTTATTTTAAATAATTTAAACATTTGAATTAGACAGTTAAAATATTTTCAGAGGGCACGAGAGAAAATACAGAATGGCAGTGAAAACAATACCATTTTTAATATTTTTATGAACATATAAAATAAATAATGTCATTTTGTGTCTATTTTGTCAACGAGTTTAGAAATATATAAATTAGTATGGTATGCTATTCTTTTTAAAGATTCAATTTGTTTTAAATGTTGAAATAGATGTATAGATGAATTGAATGGACAATAAAAGGAAATAACATAGCCATCCTTTTATTTATCATCAATAAATACTTAATTTGTTATACTCCAGCAAGGAAAGCTATATCCAATCCCTTAGTGAGACTACTCGATCGATATCATCTAACTTGTGTGCCTCCACCCCTTTCTCTTAATTCAACTTCCCTGTGAAAGAGTCGTTTTTTTCTTTAAGTTCTCAATTTCGATCTTTCGATGTCGGTGCTTCCACATAGTCTTCGTTTCGTCACTACATTTCCTTTTGCCTTTTCCCTAAAATAAAATAAAAGAAAGAAATGATGAGTTGGCTAATTTGGCTCGACTTTGAAGGTGGAAGTTTGAAATTTGGACAAGATATGTGGCATGTGCCACATTATGTAGAGAAAAGGTGAAGAGAACATGCAGTGCCATGTTTTAATTAGAGTGTAATCAAATCCAAGGTAGTCTTTGTCCAAACTTTGACTGTAACTTATCCATACAAGTGGATTAGAATCTGAGAGAGAAATGAGACACTGCCATTCAAAAATATGCTGTAGATTTATCTGTTTTTGAAGCCAATGGTAATGGGGAAGTTAGGTGCATTGAATGCATGGATTTTCATGTATTTTTTTCAAGTGCTGATCATACAGATGTGCTTCACAGCAAAGGGGAGTGTACCAGTGTTTATTTGATTCACTTCAATGAGAAACTCTCTGTCACCACACCACCTTGTTGGTCATGGTGATGGTAATGGAATCTTGAAATAAAGGTGTCAAAATGTTTTGGACCACTCATTCATAGACCATCGGCATGTAAAAAGCATGGCCGACTAAGCATTAGGCAAGGGCAGTGACAGCCCATGTGGTGGGCCAGCACCATGCATGCCTTTGACGAATAGGAAATTTATAGAAGTTGTGATGGTCGATTTTATCCTCCTATCTTAATTTCTCATTACTTGATTAGTTCTTTAACAAACTTTGACTTATCATAAAATCCCATAGGGTTTGACCAGTAGGGGCCATGCCAGGCCCAAACAAATTTTGTTGACCACAAAATGCACGATAAAATTTGTCGGTTATCATGTTTACTTTAACGAATTAAACATGTTTCAGTTCAACCATTCGTCCCAAAATACATATTCCACTAAACATCATGCTAAAATTATTTTTGTAGTTAGAATGCCAACAATTTCCTCAGATTCTAGACTACATATTCCTAATATATATTCTGCTCTTCTTCCTTCAACTCTCAATGACAATTAGTATCACAAGGTACATGAAGACTACATAGGAACTTATAGCGTTAAAATAGATAATATTCTTGATGTAGTTATCTTACAGTATAGATATAATGTTGAATTTTCGAATTTCATATGGAATTATACATGTTACACTAAGTATTGAACCCAAAGTACACAATGACAGTCAAGAACTTTTACAAAGAAATATTACATTACAAATCCTTTTGTAACCCTTTGAAGAGACATGAACCAAAAGGAGGCATCAAAGTGAAGATTGCTTTCGATTTGGGGCTCAGACACATAGAAATCAGGATTGTACCCATCTATGTGACCACACGACCTTCCTAGAACCCTAAAGCTATCCTCTATCAGATTAAAGGAAGCCACATGGTAACGTGCTCACACCAAACCCTTGAATACACGAAGTATTTTGACTCACTCAGAAGAAATCACACAGAAAAAGCCTCCAATCAGAGACTGGATGAACACGAAGAAGAAAGGGGATTGGAAGAGTCTCAAAGGAATTCTCACATACCACTCAAGAGAGAGAGAGAAATGACAGTCTAACTCTCTAGGGCAACCACAAAGTCAATATATATGTACCCAAGAATCAACCATTGATCAAGACATCATCCAACGGTCCAGGTGGCTTCTTAGAAAATGAAGAGGACGCATTTTAGGCTGCAATTAAAATTGTCACGCCTAGAGCTGGATATGGTCCAGTTCGATTCGTTAACCAAACCAAAATTTTCGAATATTTAGTAAGTGGAATCGTCGGGTCCAAATTTATTTATTGAACCGTTCAGATTCGGTTCCATTCGGTTAAGTTCTATTCAATTCCGAGGTTCCGTATTATAATTATTT